ACCTCCCTGGATCATGTACATGAGCTGCCTCTACGGACCTCTCGAGTGCGAAGGGACTTCGGTCATCCACTATCTCGCCACCATCCATCTGCTCAACTATGTCGCCAGTCCTGTCATATATTTCACACTTTAATCCCACGTTTAGGTCAAAGGCCAGTCAATTGTTCGCACATTTCCAGAAGTGCCACTGTTGCCGTGGTAAGGAATCATTTCAGCGGGAGTTCAGCTCCAGCCCGATTTAAACGTTTAGAGATCAGCGATGAAAGTTCAGATACAGCTAAACAGAAACGTACACAGAAGCAACGTCAACGTAACGGCTATTCTACAAAAACACAATCCTAACACAAACAATGCACTACAGTTACTACCACAACAACGCAAACGTTGTACTACAGTGGCTACCACCACAAGAAAAGGGTTGTGCTTCAGTGGCTACCGCCACAACATAAACATTGTACGACAGTGGCTACCACCACAACATAAACTTTATACTACAGTGACTACCACAACAACGCAAACATTGTACTGCAGTGGCTACCACCACAATGTAAACCTTGTATGGCAGTGGCTACCACCACAACATAAACGTTGTACGACAGTAGCTACCACCACAACATAAATGTTGTACGACAGTGGCTACCACCACAACATAAACTTTATATTACAGTGACTACCACAACAACGCAAACATTGTAATAGTGGCTACCATCACAATGTAAACCTTGTATGGCAGTGACTACCACCACAACATAAACGTTGTATGACAGTAGCTACCACCACAACATAAATGTTGTACGACAGTGGCTACCACCACAACATAAACTGTTTACTACAGTGACTACCACCACAATGCAAACATTGTACTACGGTGGCTACCATCACAACGTAAACGTTGTATGGCAGTGGCTACCACAAGATAAATGTTTTACTACAGTGGCTACCACAACACAAGGGTTTTACTACAGTGACTACCACCCCTGTATGCCAGTGAGCACCCGTGTATACCAGTGGGCACCCCTGTATTTTAAGGATGAACTCAGAAGAAAGTGTGTTGTCTTTACAGGAACAAAGGTGAATGAGAGAAAGCTACTGTGAACTGTGCAGGTTTGTTTTTTAAATTTACTTAATTTTGAAGTAGCTATAAATACACAAATGTTACATTGTATTTGTTTTTGATAAGTAACCTAGCACTTCTACTATGCACAAAGAACATGCATTATCACTTATGGCTTATTGGACTCAGTTTGTGCCATGCTTGTTTCTACTTAAACACTTCTGCTGCTATGTTGATTATGTATGGACAGTCACGATTCACCACACGATAACTAGCACTTAAGATCAGGTCCCTGGTATGCCATTAAGCCCAGCCCTCCTGATTTCCATCTTCCTTTTTTTCCAGGAAGTTCACGACTGGCTGTTACTACATTTTCAAGTGTTCTTCTCATTATGAAACAAGTATTTTCTCAGGAGAATGCAGGAGTGTTGAGAAATTAACATGCGGACTGTTTGGCTAGTTCTGTATTTGTGCTGGATATGGCCAAGCTTCTTTATGATCAAGTAAACAATTGCAGGCACAAATAGATTATTATGATCTGGAGAGAATGGTTCAGCTGGTAGTGACCAGATGATCTAGCTGACACAACACTCAGAGGACAGGCAAGACATATAATCAACTACTACTAAGACCTGGCTATCAGCCAGTAAAGGTCTCTTTCTCTGCTCTGGGATTTTACCTGATCAGCTTGGCTCTTGTACAATCTTAACTAGTGTGTGTAATGAAAGGGAGGGGCGGGGGGAAGGGTTCGGTGGAGTCAAAGAGTTATGGCGGCTGAGGAGCGGATGGCTCAATGGTTAGAATGCTGGGCTATCATGCAGGAGAACCGGGTTTGAATCCTCGGTAAGGCTGGATTTTTTTACATGTTGGGGGCAAAATAAAATCCTCACCTGCACAGTTGTGGCGACAGCACTAGCTTATTAGACTCAAAGACCCCCCCCCCTCCCCACTGGCTGTAATACAAATTATATGGGCCGCGATCAAATTGATAAAAACATTAAAAAAAAACAAATTTGAATCCTAGGATGTTTTCCATCAAACAGAAATTCAGCCTGTGACATCCCTTATCTGAAAGAGGAAAACAGTGTCATTGTGCATACTACAAATATTTCAGGATTTGGAGAAGTTGTCAAGGTTAGCCCTGTAGTGACTGCCTGCAAAAGAGTTGACTGAAGATAGACCTTGACTAAGGGACAGTCTTGAAAACTCGGTCACCTTAACTGATACAGCAATGATGAAAATACAAATACCTTTGTTGCTTTCCCTGTCACTGAGTTATAAGTAAAAAAAAAAAACTAACACCACTGCACTGAGGACTCTCCATAAGTACTCCATCCCCATCTTCAGCAGTAAATTCAGCAGAGTTCAAATTCTGGTGGTACCTGTAACGGTCTGGCTGTATGTCCGGATCGCTCCTTACCTGAGTGTTGAGTATCAGCCAGACCCCCTCATCATCATCCTGTAACACATGTGGCTTAGTCACCAGTTACTGTTAACTGTTTGATCAAATCCCTCCCCCTTTGAGGGTCAGATCTGACTGACTTCATGGTTGCCTGCCTAAAGTCTACTAAACCATTAACTTGCCACTCTGACAAGGCAGTAGCCATCAAGTCTACTAAACAATTAACTTGCCACTCTGACAAGACCATGGCCATCAAGTCTACTAAACAATTAACTTGCTGCTCTGACAAGGCAGTGGCCATCAAGTCTACTAAACAATTAACTTGCCGCTCTGACAAGGCAGAGGCCATCAAGTCTACTAAACAATTAACTTGCCACTCTGACAAGACCATGGCCATCAAGTCTACTAAACAATTACCTTGCCACTCTGACAAGGCAGAGGCCATCAAGTCTACTAAACAATTAACTTGCTGCTCTGACAAGGCAGTGGCCATCAAGTCTACTAAACAATTAACTTGCCACTCTGACAAGGCAGTGGCCATCAAGTCTACTAAACAATTAACTTGCTGCTCTGACAAGGCAGTGGCCATCAAGTCTACTAAACAATTAACTTGCCACTCTGACAAGGCAGTGGCCATCAAGTCTACTAAACAATTAACTTGCCACTCTGACAAGGCAGTGGCCATCAAGTCTACTAAACAATTAACTTGCCACTCTGACAAGGCAGTGGCCATCAAGTCTACTAAACAATTAACTTGCCACTCTGACAAGGCAGTAGCCATCAAGTCTACTAAACAATTAACTTGCCACTCTGACAAGGCAGTGGCCATCAAGTCTACTAAACAATTACCTTGCCACTCTGACAAGGCAGTGGCCATCAAGTCTACTAAACAATTACCTTGCCACTCTGACAAGGCAGTGGCCATCAAGTCTACTAAACAATTAACTTGCCACTCTGACAAGGCAGTGGCCATCAAGTCTACTAAACAATTAACTTGCCACTCTGACAAGGCAGTGGCCATCAAGTCTACTAAACAATTAACTTGCCGCTCTGACAAGGCAGTGGCCATCAAGTCTACTAAACAATTAACTTGCCGCTCTGACAAGGCAGTGGCCATCAAAACTACTAAACAATTAACTTGCCGCTCTGACAAGGCAGAGGCCATCAAGTCTACTAAACAATTACCTTGCCACTTTGACAAGGCAGTGGCCATCCAGTCTACTAAACGATCAGCTGCCACTATGAACCAAGAGAACATTAAGTAGAGAACAAAAAACTCATGTTTTTACTGTAAGACAAAATTTAATTCCTGAGACATAATTTGAGCTAGCAGTAAAAACAACAATACACACTGCAAGTTATTTGCAGTAAAATCTCATTAAAAGTTAGTTATAAAATGCATTCACAAAGTTAAAAAGAAGGCCAACAGCTTTCACAATATTTTGAGGTCCTTAGTTGTAATACATTGTTTAGACATATCATAAAAGCATTAATCTACAAAAAGAATAAAAATATATTTTTGTTCCACAATCATTCACAGAATAATTTACTCATGTCTATCCCCACACAGGTAAGTAACAAGGGTTCAGAAATAACGGAGGGAATTATAACAATATTACATATTTCTGAGTTTTGAATGTCAACAGGAGAAAGAAAATTATCAGAGACCTGCTGTCTATGTAAAAAAAATTTAAGGAAAAAGACATAACTCTACAGAAAATGAATGTCCACGCGAGTTTACAAACATGTCGGATTCTTTTGCATGCCTTCTATTCCCCAGTGGAGCACAGCCCCTCAACCAACTCATGCCTAGAGGCTCAGGACATCATTAGTCTTGTTCCAAAACATGAGTATTGCATTCACATCCATTTTATAGATCTGACTTATTTGTTCGCAAACTGTTGGTTCTTTCAGGCAGAGGCACTTCACTCCAACTTTAAAGTCTACTTCTACGACATGCATGCTGGGGAGGCAGTGGGTCTAATCTTTTTCTTCCCCCAATGGGGCCCCGGACCCGCATGGGAACAAAGGTTCATGGTGTGAAATGCTGCACAAAATCAGGCTTCCTAGTGTGACATAAAAGGGGAAGACAGTTAAAAGTATAAATTTTAAAAAAAAAAGATATCAAAAATTGAGCAATTACTGATTTGTATGATAGTGATGATTAATAAATAATTACTTTTTAAGCCATCATCATCATATGATATGTGTTTCTGTGATCCTATTTATACATAAAATGTCTTTCACCGGTGAGTAAGACACAGTGCATGTCTGCGCTTTGAATAAGAGCAGGCAACTCTCCATAAAAGCACTAGCCAAGGGAAATAACTCAATACTGTACAATTAGGTAACTCACTGTCACAGAACAGTTCTGCTATATGATATAAATAACTAGACAGTGATGGCGGTATAGGAGCTCAAAGGTCATCAGTCTCAAGCAGGTGACAGATGTCTGGTTCACACACAAACAGCTGATGGTATTGCTCTTGGCCTGGCTTAAAAGGATCATTCATTGGGTGGGCTTGTCAATCTTGCTGATCTGAATCATGTGAAGTTTTTCTCAGGGAACCAGTCAGCCTGTGTGATCAGCAACAAAACAAACATGACTAACAAATCCTGCATCCATGTAATGTTATAAAAAGAATACTGTTAATGATGTACCAAATGACAGTCACTGTTAATGATGTACCAAATGACAATTACTGTTAATGATGTACCAAATGACAATCACTGTTAATGATGTACCAAATGACAATCACTGTTAATGATGTACCAAATGACAATCACTGTTAATGATGTACCAAATGACAATCACTGTTAATGATGTACCAAATGACAATCACTGTTAATGATGTACCAAATGACAATCACTGTTAATGATGTACCAAATGACAATCACTGTTAATGATGTACCAAATGACAATCACTGTTAATGAGAGCAGAAAATTGCTTTAATATGAAGCAGTCACTGTAAAGTACATCTTCTTCTCAGCGTTCACCAGCAGAAAGTTTTGGTTGTTCGTCCACTCTTGGACTTTGGTCTTGATCTAGAACTTTTGATTGAGTTTGAGTTTTGCACGAGCATCCTATTACAAACCTGGCTTTTTTGTAAGCAGACTGTTGGTTCCTTGTCTCTTAAGCAGATGCACTATGAAGGGAACACCCCTAGTTATCTCCTACAACATGTTTGTCAAGGGGACAGTGGGTCTAAAAAGTCAGTCAGTAGCATTTCCTTGGCAAAACTTTGCTCCAATAACAAACCTCCTTAAAACTTCTAGATCAAAAGCAGGATTTGCCACGTTCGATACATCAGAAAAAGTAACATTTCAAAATCAGGGTTACTCTAAGAGTGAAATGATCAGACAGAAGTCATGTGACTTATGTTCATGCACTCTCTAACTTCTGGACTCTCAACTGCTCCAAAGTTGTCGAGCCAGCAGAATTTAGCTAAACCAGCTATAGTGATCAGCCTTCAAGTTTCTGAGGCTGTCTCAGTTCTTCAGAGGTTCTCAAGATGTATTTGTGCATTCTTCCATAGAACAGTTTACCTGAAAAAAATCCAAGATAAAGTCTTTCCATGCCCATCCTTGTTGTAGTCAATAACGCACTTATAGTTTGGAGGTTGGGAAGGTAGCAGGACCAGAATAGGTTAGACCTGAGAGCTGCTCTGTGGTTTAGCCAGTTCCCAGAGCTGCAAGCCTGCCTATAACTCCTTTACTGCCTTGGAACTTTGCAGACGTAAAGTATAGTATCATGAACAACCTGGTGTTGCTGAGCTTCTAGAAGGCAGGCTCTACAACAGTCTCCATGTAGATGGTACTCAAGTGAGGGATGTGTGGGGTCTCTATACCAACCTCAAGCTGACATAAAACAGCCTATTTTAGAGCTGAGACATTCTGAAACAACATACAATACTCAAGACTGAGGACTTAGTTAGTTAGTTAGTTAGTTGGGTTATCGTCATTGCACTCCGGACATGTCCATAGGTGCTCAGATCCTCCCCTCAGTATGAATCCCAACGTCCGATGGCTAATAGTACCAGTTCTATGTTGATTAACAAGTCTTCTGACGTGTCCGGTGTGCGTCTCGTTTTTTGCTGTGCCGATCTTAATTCCCAAGTCTGCCATCCTGGCGAGTGATGTGGATTCACTGCCACCAAAGTCCTCTATCCTTCCCATTTCTCTGAGGGCATTGATAATATCAGCATGATCCATAGGGCCGACCGTCGGTAGTGATAGCGGATCCAGCCAACCTGTCAGCTCTTTCATTTCCATCGACGCCTGCGTGTCCCGGAACAAAAATAAAGGTGACTCCTCGCACAGTGGACTTCTGAATTGATTCAAGCCATTGTCTTCGCACCGAACCTGCCTGAACCCTCCGGATCATACTCATTGAATCACTGAGTATACATATGCGGGTGTATTTTTGCGTTTCAAGCCAGGCAAACGCTTGCGTCACTGCCATCACCTCCATCGTCATGCTGCTGGTTGTCATGAAATAGGCGCCGTTGGCTTCTTTGACTGTTGCTGCCCGCTGAGCGTGCTGTAAATGCCCATGCGCTTCTTCTTTGGCGTATAACGGATCCGTCTGTATAGATTAGTGCATCTGCTTCGTCTGAATTTTCACCGATGAGAGCGTTGACCTCTGCATTAACAGCAACAGGATTTCTCTTCTCTACATCGCCTGTTGAGTGTGACAATACAGGAAAATGTACAAATAAACGCCTGAGGCACAGGTATCCATTCTGCACCAGGTATGATGTCGGTTAGGCTGCATATTTGCCTAATAACATCTTCTGCCCGACCTAGCCACGATTTTCCCCTCTTCAGTCTGTCGCCCTTTTCACTAAAAAGCGCTTGATGCAGTGGGTGTTTCTTATCAGCACATATTTTGAGTAATGCCAGAGCCCTCCACATCCTGATCCTTTGGTTCATTGTTGGAAAGTCAAGTAGATACCTCATTGCTCCACAGGATGTGTCTCTTGTACATCCCAAAATAATACGCATGGCTTCATTTTGCACCTTCTCGAGTCGTTCAATCTGGGCAGCACTGACAGTGAGGATGGCCAGAGCGTATTCAATGGGGGAAAGGACCAGACCGTAGAATAGAAGCACCAGCAGTCTTTGCTCGATATTGGAAGCAGCCATAATCCTCATTGCAGATAGACCTTTGCGTGCTTTTGTTATCACATGGTCAACGTGTTCCCTGAATGACAAGCTGCGATCGAACCTCACCCCGAGAAACGTCATAACGTTGGTTCTGATCAATACATTATCACGCATTTTCACTTCTGGTAAAGTCCGACTTGACAATGTGATTGTTCAAAGAGAACCATGACACTGATGCCTTCGAGGGATTGACATAGGCATTGGAACCATCACACCAGGCGGCAATTCGATCGAGTTCTTTGTGCATTGTGCTGGCGATCTCCTGTCTATCACGCCCTTGTCGATAAATCAAAATGTCATCAGCAAATGACAAAGTCCTTCCCTTTCCATTCAACTGCTGCTCAGTGATCATCACCGTATAAACGTTGAATAAGACTGGTGATAGCGGTGATCCCTGTGGCAAGCCTGGACATATGGTTTGCGGTTCTGAGGACCAGCTACCACATCTTAGTACTGAGGACTTTGTCCTCCAAATAACTATACAACTGATGTGATATAAAGCACAAAAAGCCCCCCCCCCCCCCCCCCCCTGATATTAAAGCAACAAAAAAAAACTGAAGACAAACCACACACAGACATGCCAAACTTACTTTTACAACTCTTCCTATGCAGTATTCTGTCAGCATGCCATAGGCATCAGGACTGTGACCTTTGTCGATAAAAGCCGAAGTGGCATCATGACCTCCATACTCGAGAATAATATCCTCGCCACCTGGGTGCTGTAACCAAGACAATGTTAGTGGTTAATAGAAGTGACACCTGGTCACTTTGAACATAACCGCAACTTTTGATCCTTCAGCATTAACTGAAGTGATCAAAGGTGTCAATTAGAACTGCCCTAGTGAACTGTTTAAATACATATTCCAAGCAATCAAGAACATGGTTTAGGGTCTACACAATATTGTCTTGCTCCAGGCTCTATCATCAACACTTACACAGAAGGACAGTAGTGCCTCAGTACATGTCGCTCTGATATACATTCTGTTTTAAGGCAAAAACCTTGCTTGGTATAGAAGCTTTGTTTGGAATACAACTCGTGAGCTAGAGCTTGTCAAAATGAGTCAACACGGCACACTACCCTAATTTACCTCTCTCATTAATCAGTAAAATGTTTAGGGACTTGGGTATACTTCCTGGATTACATTGGATTGTGAGAAAATTATAAAACATTTGTTGCCTATAAAAGCAAAGTAAACAGAATATCTAACGAAGACTGAACAACTGCTAGTCGAAGACAAAATAACATGAAACTGCATGTTAAGTTTGATATAGTGGAGGGACGTGCGAGGGAACAAATGCAGTGTTTACTGGAACAACACAGAATCTGCATTGTACATTTGCTCAGGGAGACTGCATCTACAGGTTTTCCTGGAGTGTTGATTCTTCAAACAGCAAGTCTCAAACTTAACTTTCACCCCATAAAGTGTACTGTCGGATGGACCTTAGCTCTGGCATTTACTCAGAGATTCTAAAGACACACACAAAAGTTAGGTGCCTCTAAACTCTAGGGTAGAAGAGCAATAGGAGTAACTGATCAATGAAATGTACCTCTACCTCCCAGGGTAAATGGGAAATGACTCAACAAGACTGTAAGGTACCTCACATACCAGGGTAAATGGGAAATGACTCAACAAGACTGTAAGGTACCTCACATACTAGGATAAATGGGAAAAGACTCAACAAGACTGTAAGATACCTCACATACTAGGATAAATGGGAAAAGACTCAACAAGACTGTAAGGTACCTCACATACCAGGGTAAATGGGAAAAGACTCAACAAGACTGTAAGGTACCTCACATACTAGGATAAATGGGAAAAGACTCAACAAGACTGTAAGGTACCTCACATACTAGGATAAATGGGAAAAGACTCAACAAGACTGTAAGGTACCTTACATACTAGGATAAATGGGAAAAAACTCAACAAGACTGTAAGGTACCTCACATACTAGGATAAATGGGAAAAGACTCAACAAGACTGTAAGGTACCTCACATACCAGGATAAATGGGAAAAGACTCAACAAGACTGTAAGGTACCTCACATACTAGGATAAATGGGAAAAAACTCAACAAGACTGTAACGTACCGCTACATCACAGGGTAGAAAAGGAAAGATCAAACAAGACAAAGAACTCTACATCCTAGCATTAAAGGCAATGAATATCTAACCAATTATTGAAAGAAACAATTAAAAAAAAACAATTTTAAAAGCTCACCATTCTGAGAAATCTGGTGACATCATAAACCTTGTTATTGACAACCATCCAGCAAGACTGACTGCTGCAGTGATCTGCTATCTCTGACCGTGGGATAGGTCGGCTGAGCATTTTCCTTACTGTCAGAATCTGAAACTAATTCTGGGTGGCTATTCACACACTTTTTGTGTGGACTCGAGTCAGCATTCTTTGAATTCTTTTTATTTTCTGGTGAGACCTGTCGGGGGAACAAAAACAAGATGAATCAATTTTTCTGTACAAATACAGTGCAGCAATATTACAACTATTAAAAGCAATATGGAGTTTTAAATTTCTTAAAACCTGCACATGGAGAGAGTGATGCAGCTAGGAGTGTCCATGGGCTCTGGACGCCACTCAAAACCTTGGGGAAAGACAAGACAAGTAGTTAACCAGATGGCAATGAGTACCAACAGTATAAAGACACCCACTGACTGTTGACGAGGGAGGCAAGGTTGATATGGGCTTGTCTGAATGCTATGATATTGATTCTTTACCCAGATGAATCATAAATCTAAAACTGAAATTGTAAAACTGCAGTGCATGTTTCTCTTGTTCATGCTCAACACTCAGGGGAGGGATGAGACGGATATACAATCAGAAGGTTACTGTTACCGTCAGACTGGAACTCTTTTGCTTGCTGCTGAGGATGGGGACTGCAGGCTTATGTGAGTGTCCTGAGTGCTGATGTTGATTCTTAATTCAACATTCTCTTGTACATAAAGGTTTAAAAATCATTTCTGTCTGACAAGCCCCTGGACTTCTCGAAAGATGGCAAACTTGAGTCTGTTCCAGCTCAACATTTTGATTTAGAAAAACTCCTGGCGACCTCAAGTGGTCACAGCGCTCAAAGTCCAGACCAGGGAGACGATGGAAACTAGCAAAGCAAACTGCACCTCATGGGGGCCTGTCGAGTTCCACGTTCCTACGCTAACAATAAACATGTTAATGTTGTACATAAATACAGGCACACAAACTCCTCAATGACTAGGTATTGTATTACTAAATGATTGAGGCTTGAGCACATGCAAGTTGCTTTTCCTCTACTGTTTTTCAAGCTGTTGTAAGTTTAGTTTATAACAGCAGCATGTAGGTATTATAAGTAATGTTTTAGAACAACTACAAATTACATGCATCAACCCTGGTACATGATAACTACCATATTATTATGGACAGACCATAACAGTAGGTGTTTTATGATTATAGTATAATTTATACTGCACCTCAGAACAGGGCACAATGTGAAAATATATGACATTACACATTACACAGGCACATGTATTATGAATATGAAATTTAAAACGTGCATCAGCCATAAGGTACTGAGAGCTGACCGTTCAGTTGCAATGGCAAACTACTGAACATAAAATGTGCCTAGAAAAACCACAACAATAATAACAGCCAAAAAATCAACGGCAGACCTTTTGGCCAAATTTTACACCAATGGTAAGCCGTAAGCAAACTTAGCGGACCCAAGGGAGTGACATGTGTGTATGTTATTACAGTATACTATACTTAACTATATTACTACACGAGAGATGAGAGACAAATAGTCAAATAGGAAGATATACAGTACCGACTTTAAGCCCACGAAAGAAAAAGTTGAAATATTTTAAAATAATAATAAATAATAACAAGTATCGTTTTCGGATTTATGCAAATAACACTAGTTATTTTCTTTCTTACTTTCTATGGTCTAAGTTAGAAGTCATTATGGCAGGCTGCATCATGATCATCATCCATGCAGTAAGTGCGTGCAATTAATCAATTTAATCTACCAAAAGTACCGATAACAAACAGCATGACATGGGCACTGATGTGAACGGGCTAATTAAAAAAAACGAAGTGAAGTACAACGTGTGTGTGCAAATGAAGTTTTAAAACTTTTTCAAAACAAATGATTATTAAATAAATGAATGATCTATAAATCTATAACTAACCTGGAGAGCTTTAAGAGCCCACGATAGACCTTTCTTGATGGACGTCGTCGACATGTTTGGCTGTTGTGTGTGTATATGTAGTCACCTGGCTGATATAGACAGTCTTAGGTGTTGGTCCAGGTATTAACCGTGTCTCTGAGTTGTTTGTGCGCCCAGTCTCGTGACAAAGTTCTATGGTAGGTTGGAATTTGGCAAGCTTTAAATACCGCACGCTGGGCTCATGCATTCTCCGGGTTACCTGTGTTGTCATTATCCGGTCAGTGAATGAAGGGGTAGGTTACTGTAAAACTGCTACAGTTTGGCGCCCTATATTTCATCATCTGGTTTGTATAAGCAAGGTAGTGGGATTAACCACGATACTCGATATAGTTGTGGTAATGCTGCCGCTGGTAACGAGGGGGGGGGGGGGGTTGTGTTAGCTTTAAAAAAAAAAACAATAACATTTTTAACGATCATTTCGTAGAAAAGTCTTCTTCAGACAAAAAAAGATAATTATGCACTTTAAAGGTAAAGAACCCCTTCCACGTATTGGGCATATAGGGCTAGACCTATATTTTATAGACCAATCGACATCTAGTGGGTGATGTGATCAGAATGACGCCGGCGGCCTTTATTTCCCGGGACTGCACCTTCATTCAAGGCTTGGTCGATCTGTGAGTCATTGTCATTCTCTGGAAAAAGTCTGGCTCCGCAGGCGAGTATCTAGCCACGACACGACGAGAACCAGACGTCCCGTACTGAAGTTATTTTTATTTTAATGTCATGTTTAGCCTAGAAAAACTCAAATACTGTGAACAGGTTAGGTAAGTTGCGTATCCTTTACAGGACGTTGCAGAACCAACCCCATCAGCCCCTGGCTGTTGTGTGATTTTTCTAGGCAAATTTACGTCCAGTAGTTTGCCTTTGCTTTCTGGATGGTCGGCTTTTCTTAATACCATTGTCGATACCAACGCAAGGCGCTTGGCCCGCATTTGATATCAAACCCGGCATCCCGGCATTACGAAGCGTTCGCATCGACTTAGCCACAAAGCCGACACTGTGAACAAACAATGGGTTAAATATTTGACAAGATCTTTAAAATCATTGAAACGTCGTGATAACACGGAAGATTCGGGTGTTAGAGACTGAAAAAAGTGGATACGTGTTTTACTGATTTGAAAATCGGTATCATAGCACGGCGAGCATACCGATAGGTGCTCTGTCTCCAGCAACAATGTGTCTTAAGATGTAGATGTAAACTTTTACCTTAGCAAATTGAATATAAACGTTGTTCTCTTCATCTCATTTCAACCTCCTTGCCAGATTCCACACCGAACTCCTGGTTCACACATTATTACACGTGCTATTTCATCTAGTTTGACACGTGAGCTGGCAGCTGGCAAGACAGCGCAGGAAAGCGACAAGAGTTCTGACAAAGAGCAAGGAGCTGGTAGCCATAGTGGAACATGGCTTTCTACACATTCACTAGTGCTATGGTGATCATAATATTCCCAAGCAAGACAGTTTAATCTCAGCCTCTTTCAAGGTCACCGGGGTAAAAGGGTTATTACTCGCTTGACACTGGTATTAAAATTCGAACCACTGTCACCAAGAACTAAACGAAACAACTATGCACTGAAAAACATGACACAATTAAAATTCCCATTAACACATTTCAGGCATCACAAGTATCTAAAACTAAGGCCTGCAGATATAGCTTCAATTGTATATTGTATTCTCGGCTGATTCCTAGATTTTTTTTTTTTCAAATAAAACCGGACAGTTGGCGTATTTTTGTTTAGTACCGACTGGACGGCTGTGGCACACCTAAGAAAGTGGACTGTCCCAGTGACAACGGGACGTATGGTCCCTCTATGTACGACACATGATGATGATGTTGGTCAGCTAACACGTGACACTGATATAAACATGCCTCCCTAGCTGGTGTTTACAGCGTTTCTCAGAAATCGCGGATGGGAAGGGAGAGATAAAGATAGAGAAACGCAATTCAATGTCACCGAGTTTTTGTTATATCTGTAAACACATTTTCTCGGTTGTTTCATTGTCTGTGTTAATCGGTATTCCTTGATACTGTTGACTTTCAGAACTTACACTGTGCACGTTCTGGTCTTGTTGACAATGAATACATGTTATCTCAGACGAAAAAAAAAAACTAGATTTAATCGCACCCAGTCCAAAGGTAAAATATAAAGGACTTTTTTGGCGCCACTTTTTTTTTAACATTTTTATAGACCAATCGACACTTGGTGCTGGAAAGGGGTGAGGGGGGGGGGCAGGCTAATGATGCCAACATCACGCCGGCCGCCTTTATTTTCTAGGACATTACCTGGTCCTAATGTAGGTTGGGAGCCAAGGTCATTTTTTTGTGTGGTTACAAAACACACCCCAGACCGTTAGGACAGCAGACGATAATTGGGCCACTGCGCTACAGCAGTTACAGTCGGTATGAGACCGATTTTGTGGCGGGTCTGTTATACGAGGACATGAGTGCATGGGCTTTTACAGCTCGCTCTTCAGGCAGAACAGTTGAAGAAGCCAGCGGTGCCTTCTCCATGACCACCAGCAGCATGACGATGGAGGTGATGGCGGTGACACAGGCTAGAATCACAGGACTATACCCGGATGTGTGGGCTGAGTGGGCATGATCTGGCGGGTCGAGGCAGGCTGGTTACGCAGACAGTGGTTTGAGTCATTGTAAAACTCTCTTGTGTGTACAGTTAACTTTATATTCGACTCATATTATGAAGGCGTTGTTGCTAATGAAAGAGCTGATAGACTGGCAGGGGCTGCATAAATTGAAGATGGCCGACCCATGGATCACGCAGACATTGTCATTGTCCTTAGAGAGATAGGACGTTCTGAGGATTTTGGAAGCCACATGTCCACTTTACTGGTAACAATACGCGAATTGGGAGTAAAGATCAGCACAGTCCAGCATGAGACTCCGGACTCACATAAAGTCTTGTTAACCAACAAAGGACTGGTACTATTAACCGCACGACGCTGATGAATATGTTGAGAGGGGAATCTGGGCGCCTATGGAGTACTGTGAAGATAATCTTATTCATAACTCAGTATGCAATCTTTCGAATACCCGGCAACATCCTGATACCCTTCTCCGCCGATGTCTTCTAGTTATAGCCCTCAATGTTGGAGAGGGGAAGACGAGTTCTACAACACAGTTCCCGTGGAAATAGAAATGTAGTATAATATCAGGTTTTTAAACCCACCAAGCTCTTGTATATTTAAACCCATTTCAGTGCTCATGAGTTCTGAGCTTAAACAAACTGGTTGCCAGTTAGGTCTTCCTGGCAACCCTTGAAACTATTTATACGGAAACTGTTGCGAGCCGTTACAGGCGTGGCAAGTAGCAGAGAAAGTTCACGATAAATTAATTGTGCAGACAGACAGCGTGAAGAGAGGATGATTAGCATACGGTTGAGAGAGAATAATGCCCATTAGTCTGTGCAAAGCGCGGAGACAAATGTAAACAACGCCGAATAATTTTGTAAATGAAGACACGTTGTTAGAAGGGGATGGAAGAACATATTTTCTAACCACCAACAAAAAGCGCAGTTTTACTGTAGAATTTTAAAATTGCTAGAGAAACTGTATTTTAAGGAAACAATGTTGATAAGTGAGGGGAAAAAAAAAGCAATAGAAACAGCTTAGGGGGGAAAAAGAGGTAGAAGAAGATGAACTGAGGAGGGGGTCAGCGCACGTGTGTGCAATTACGTTAATTTGTGGTTCGATTGTTCAAACAATTATACCAGATGTAAGTGTCAAAGGTAGACACCGCCTAAAACAAGTACCGGAAAAATGTCACGGAAAGTAAATTCAGCGAATGTGATGTTGACCAAATCGCATTTAGAATACCGACTGGTCTATTTAGGTATGAATCTAGCAAGCATCATATGTCCAGTCCGCCACTGCGTGTCAAGCAGTGGTTCTCAGCCTTCCTAATGTCGCGACCCTTAAATACAGTTCCTCATGTTGTGGTGAACCCCAACCAAACATTTATTTTCGTTGCTAGTTTATAACTTAATGAATATTAATATTTGTTTTCTGATGTCTTGTGCGCCCTTGTGATTTGTGAGTGGTGGCCCATACCTTCAGAACCGCCGGTGTAAAGGGTTCTCGACTTGAGATGTCTGCTCGGCCAGGGGAATATTGTGCATACAAGCTGGCAGACATCATGAAGCCTTCTAGGTTAGTTGCGTATCCTTTACAGGACGTCGCAGAACCAACCCCAACATCCCCTGGCTGTTGTGTGGTTTTTCTGGGAAAATTTACGTCTAGTAGTTTGACATTGCTTCCTAGACTGTCGGTTCTCTTGATACCACTGTCGAAACCCACGCAAGGCGCATGGCCCGCAGCTGGGATCGAACCTGGCATCCCGGCATTACGAAGCGCTCGCATCGACTTAGCCACAGAGCTGACCATGAACCCTCCTGCGAACATAAAAAATCTGCACAATCATTAGCTTTTGTAAAGACAGGAAATTTTCCCAACAGACGTAAGGTTACAAGACACCGGTTTGATATCTGGCTGTGAAATCGACAGGCTGACGAAATCCAGAGTAACATCCAACTTTCAACAGTCGACAAAAGGGGGCCGACAAATAAAACAGAAAAAGGAGTCGCTGAGGTGGAACAGGTGGAAAACTTCTGTAAGTGGTTGTAATTACCCGGCGAAGCATTACAATTGTTCGGGTTGCGCTGGGGGGGGGGGGGCACAAAAGCCCCATATTTCCAGCATTACGGATCTGTCGCCAAATAAGGCAGAAGGGTTGCGATATCCATAGTACCGAGCCAAAGGGTATACAACTCATTTTTGTCTGGATCAATTAAAAAAAAATCGATATGGATGAAGCTTTTTCCAAACCACGTTTATTTGGGCTACAAGCGGTCACGTGAATGACAACTGCGTGTGGCTGAAGCAATGCGTGTCTCCCAGGTTACACCCTCGTGTTGTCAAACTGGCATTTCATTCTTTGTTGTTCCTTCTGTGGCCCAGCCTAGACTGTTGAGCCAACGCCTCCTCCAGCTGGCGAA